AGAGAGAGAGAGAGAGAGAGAGAGAGAGAGAGAGAGAGAGAGAGAGAGAGAGAGAGAGAGAGAGAGAGAGAGAGAGAGAGAGAGAGAGAGAGAGAGAAAGAAAGAAAGAAAGAAAGGAGTATGTATTGAAGTATAAAAACTGCATTTTCACCTCTTCTAATCTTAAAGTTTTCAAATCAACATCGAAAGTAAAAGAAAAAATTGCATCTAGTTAACAATATTTAACGTGTTACATAAAAAAACTGGATTCTTTAAAAGGAAAAACTCCATTTTTTAACTAAACATGTATATAAACTAAACTAAATTGTAAATCCATGTATTTTCAATCCTCAAGTTAAACTTTTAGTTTTCATTGTTTATCATAATTAAAGGACCAACTAAAAAAGAAGATTATTTTCACTTCTTGGCGGAAAGTTTAAATTCACCAGAACTCAGGTGTCAAAAATTATGTACCAGCCTGATTATATCGAGCCCTGTTTCAGCCTGAAGTTTTTATAACCCAATCTATTACGTGATATATCCAGGTCAAGTTAAAACCCGTCTGAGCCTGAACTAAGAGTTCAATTTAACATACACTCTGTAATTGAAGAGTGTACATGTAGACACAAAGTATTTATAAAATTCCAATAGACTATACATGTGATTGAACTTTATAACTATGTGAAGTTAAACACTTGAGGATGATGATCATACTGCTTGATGATGATGATCATACAGCTTGATCTTTGTGTTCACTTTTAAAAAAGTCCAAAAGGATGCAAAGTTGGCATCAACCTTAACCTACCCCCAATAAATGAAGCGATTTCCATATGAACACTTGTAATTTAGAAGTATAGATGACATTACTTTATAAGCCTACACTTATAGGGTTGAATTTCAATATAAACTAATAATGTGAAACAACGCATTCTGAAGCATCATAAACTAATAAAAACCATTCAGTTAAAAACTACCCACATTACTCATCGTAGCCAAAGCACGGTGACCAATGAAGTAGCTAAAGGCCTTCTTTGAAGGGTAGGGGATTCATTTGAAATCAAGGCTAACTGAATCTCTTAACGTAATTCCAGTGCTTAACCCATCTCTATGGTACATTAGAAGGAGAGAAAGATTTTGCCAATTTTTCATATCTATTTTCTCCAGTCATCCCCAAATAACAAAAACATTTATACTTCATATGCCACAGTTCACAAGTTGAGAACGCACCAAATATGCAATCACCTACAAAGAAAAATACACATTATTACTATACTAAAATTAGAAATTTCCTTAATCTTTACATAGAACATTCTTGACAAAACTGTCCAAACAGTTAACGAAGTATCAATAGACACAATTATTATATAACAGAACTAAAAGAAGTGCAGTGTTCTCTTTTGATATTATCATTTCTGTGTTTCAAACCCAGTCCATTAAGACAACAAATTAAATTAAACATAAAAGAATTGGGACTTGCACATGAGTATACAGTGACTCTAGCTAGTAATATACAATCGGATATATAAAAATTGGATCTTAAACATGAGCATATATACTAACCTGATAAGTGATAATCAATGAGTTTGTGAGAGGAGCTTTGAGCGACTCTGAGGAATCGGCACAATTGTGTGAAGAATTCGAATTTGTTTCGAAGGGTTGGTTGTATTGTAAAATCGTGGGTGAGAAATTTAAAAGATTTCAAGTTTGTAAGTGGAATGGAGCAGAGAAGAGAAGCCGAGAAGGGGAGCAGAGAGCTTCCGAAGTTCTGAGTTCTGAATATTTGGAAGTGATAGACGAGTGTAATTCGACATAAAATTACTCAAATACCCTCAAACATTAGGCGGGATACTCACTTAGTTCGATTAATAATATATATAGATATAGATATATAGATATATAGATTGCCATTGATGATTTAATTTGTTTAGCATGAGATGTCATTGAATCAATCCTGCTTTGCAGGGGAACCCACTACATTTCATAAGAAGATTTAAGTGACTTAAGCTAGTCATGGAATATTATTTTTTTTATTTTCCTTTAGGAATTGCAGGTCTAGCAATATGTGATGCTAAGCTAGAAAAACAAATTAATTGATGAATAGAAAGGTTCTGGTTTTATTGGAATATAGAAGAGGTTTTTGTTCTTTGCATAATTGCTTTAGACCACATTTCTCTTGGTAAAATGAACTCTCACCCTAGTGTGTCTTTTTTATTCGTGATAGAGTATATGGGCTTGGACCCCATGACTCACATACTCGTCGGCCATGGACCGCAATCGGCCAGAGGATCGCATCGGCCGAAATGTCCCGCATGGGCCGAAAGTTACCTTGGCAGAATGCATTTTCCTATCTTTTTTACTAAGTGTTGTACTTAGTCCATTAGTGGACCTATTTCGCCTAAAGAAGACATGATTATTGTAATGGGCCTCCTAAGCCCAAGGTTAGGAGCCCAAATCCACATTTTTTCCTATAAATAGACCCCTTGGGGCTAGTTATAGGGGGTTGAGAAATATTAATTGTTCACTTTCTCTCTCTAGCTCTCACTTCTCTCTAGAATTAAATACTCTATCATTTTGTGCTCTCCTTGAGAGCTTGAATAGATCAAGTAAGTACCCTTCGTCGTTACCACACACTATCACCAGCTATATATGGGCCGGAAGAACTAAGTCAAAGAACCTCGTCGGTAGGAACGCCCCGTGAGCCAGGAATACTAGGAGGGGCAAGGAGACGTTGTTGACAACGTCCCTAACGACTTCATGGCTGAAGAAGAGAACGTCCAGGAGGTCGAACACCCAGCTGACAAACTTCGCAACCACCTCAACAGGACCGCTCCAGACGCCCGCCTCGGGCTCGATGACAAACGCGCTGCTGCCCCCCCAGATCATCCAGGCCGCTCTATCGGCCATCGTTGCCAGCATCCTCCAGGATCCCAATGTTGTCAGTGCCCTTGTCGCAAGAACTGGAGGGAACAACACTCCCAAGACAGGGGGGTCGTGACGGCCCTAAAATACCCGCCACCCCCACCTGTCGTCACCCTCTTCGGCCATGACGAAAATGTTGTTGCCATGGACACCCATTCCCATACTACCACTCCAACCCGGGATGCATCAGCCCAACCTCGTGCTAAGACCTCAGCCTTCAATAGGCTGGGTGCCACGGGCCGTCGGGCACCTACGGGGAGGATGGCGGATCGGTTGGGTGACCGCGAGCCGGCCTCGCCAAAAGAAAGCTTCGGGTCCGTCTCCCGGACAACAGATAAGCCCCGAATGGACAAAGGAAAAGGAAAGTTGCATGAAGATGACGTGCGTCATCAAATCAACCAGGCTCACGCGGCTCATGTTCAGTCCCCGCAAGGTGCCGTTGCGGCCGCCCAGGACCCCAAGGATGAGATCATCGCCCGCCTGGAAAAGCGCCTAGCAGACATGGAGGCCCAGGAGGCCGCGGGACATGCGGCGGCCCACACATCCCAACCTCCCAACCTCCCAATTACGACGTGCTCCTGAACAAAGTCAGTGCTCTGGAAAGGGAGTTGGCTGATAGAAGTGACGAGCCCGTCATCCAGATACGGACAAGGACCCCCTTCTCTGCGAATGTGCTCTCCGCCCCCATCCCTGAGAAATACAAGGGGAACCCGATCAAGCCGTATGACGGTTGCATCGTTCCTCAGGAGCACTTCACCCGCTACCAGATTAACATGATGATGACCAACGCCTCGGAGGAATACATGTGCTGCTGGTTTCTTTCCACCCTGGAGGGGACATCGTACGATTGGTTCAATAATCCTCCGGAGGGGAGCATAGACTCATGGCAGGATCTAGCTCAGCGCTTCCTCACCCACTTCACTGGAAGGAAGCGCGTAAAGAAGCATTTCACTCACCTCCTCACCATCAAGCAGCAGCCGGAGGAAACACTCCGCGCATTTCTTGATCGCTGGTCGAGGGAGGTGGAGTGGTGGGCGAGTGCGAAGGAGCTGACGAGCGCACCCTTTTGGCCTTCCTCCGAGGAGCACTTCGGCCCAGCCACTTTGCCCGAAGCTTGTTCACTGAGCCTCCACGATCATACATCGCGGCGCTCCGACGCGGGGACAAGCATGTGGAGGCCGACGAGCTCCTAAGCCAGAAGAAAGGGGGGAAAGGCCGCAAAAGAAGAATGATCCTTTGGCGAACCCTTCCAATGCACCGGCCCACAAGGAACAGAACCAACGCAGGAAGCTGCACCCAGAAGTCGGCGGATAGCGGAAGGACGATCGCTCATGGCGTCCGAAGTTGGAGGTGCCACGGGTCCCCCTCACTCACCCGGTAAGCGTCATCATTGATTACGCTGAACAGTAGGGCCTCATTGTGAAGGACCCCAGATCAGAGGAGGAAATTTTTGCAATCCATAAGGGAGGGACGTACTGCAAGTACCATCGCCAGATGTCCCACAAAACCGACGATTGCTCCACCCTGAAGAGACATGTTGACAAACTCATCCAGCAAGGGGAACTCTTCCAATTTGTTAAGGGTGCCCCTAAGAAAATACATGGGTCAACCCTGGCAAGAGGGGGAGGGGTCCTCTGGCAAGAAGAGAGAGATCGGCGCCCTCACTGAGGATGAGGACGATGAGGAGGAGCCTCGTCCCAAAAAGCATCATATCCACATCATCGTGGGGGGGAAACGTTGGGGGGGGGGGGGGGGGGGACTCGGCCACCCAACGAAAAAAATGGGCTCAGTCACTCTACGTTGGCGAAGTGGCCCAAGCCCCCCCCCCCCCCCAAGGCCGAAGCGACAACATGTCGAGGCAATCACCTTCACTGATAGGGACCTCCCCTTCGCCCCCCTGCCCCACAGAGACGCCCTCGTCGTCAAATGTGAGATCGGCAACAACATCATCCACCGCAACTACATCGACACTGGCAGCTCCGTCAATGTGATGTACGTTGATACATTCAAGCAGCTGAAGCTGAAGAAGGCCGAGCTCAGAACGATACGGACACCGTTGTCTGGCTTCACCGGGGACTCTATCGACGCCGAGGGCACGATAGTGCTTCCCGTGGTGGTCGGGGACGGTACCCATTAGGCGAAGATAGACATGGAGTTTGTGGTCGTAAACCTGAACATCGCACACAACATGAGGGGTGATTCCTAGAAATTTTCAAGTTTTAGCTTATTATGATAAAACCCTAACTTCCTATATTATATTGGTACATTCTCTATTGCTTGCGTAGAGTCACACTTCAATCAACCCGCTCGCCTCCTCCTATACCTCCAGCCACCTAGCTGATGACTCCGCCTCCAATACACACTTTTCTGGATAACACTTTCCATACAATCACCTCATCATTCACATGCATTTGTGCAGTTTTAAAATCTATTCTACATATTAATGCAAAGAATTTTATATGTATATGGTGACAACTCTGGTACCCTTCTAATAAATGGGGTATCGTACCTACCATTCATTTGATCATTTTCCAAACTTGACAGTAATTACTCCTATTTTGGGGAAAAAACATGACAGTCCTATTTTGGAATTTTCAAACTTATTTAGTCCTATTTCGGGAACTTTCCCTTTAAATAATTCAACTACTACATTCTCATTGGTTCATATGGACAAAGGTATGGTACCTTATGAGTACCATAGAATCTACCTATTTATGTTATGTACTTTCCATTATATATATTAACTTACGCTTTTTATAGGAGGTTTATAAGGACATAAAAATTTCACATCTCTCTAATGCATATGTGCACATTCACACTTTTCTAAATTGCACTTTTTGGCAAACAACTAAATTGCGCTTATTTAGCATCATATTGCATCTAGCTTGTACATTTATGCACATTCCAATTAATTAACTGTTTTGTATGTAACACTATTTTTAATCATATTGTATCTCGTTACTGCATATATGCTACATGCTGATTACTTTATAGGTAAATTACTTTCTTGATGCATTCCCATTAATATGTACTGTTATGTGTGACTATCATGCCCGCATTTATGTATTTTGGTACAATTTATTTATAATCATTCATAAATACCCCTCCGCATTTTAAAGTTCCACAATTTTCTTTTTGGGATGTATTTAAAAGTTCCATACACTTTCCTTTTTTTGGTAAGTTTTTCCTTTAAAAATACTCAATTACCCTTACTTTTTCCACTTTTATTCTCTATTTTCCTACTTTTTTACCTCCTCTCCTACTTTTTCTATATTATTCATTATCTCTACTATTCACGCGTAAATGTTGTGCCAGGCCATATCCTAATGTATGGAATTAGACTCGGTCCACATACTCATAGGCATACAAGCAGCCTAAATAGACCAACAGGATCGTATTGGTTCCTCTTGTTGGATGAGTGAATACTCTTAGAGCAACTAGAAGCGGTGGACTGCACGGATTTGTCGAGCCATCTCAACGGGAGCGTATCCTAATAGAGACCCAGGGGGCAGTCGCCCCTCCAACAAAAAAAATAGTGTATATATATGAATATATACCAAAAAATAATTTTCGTCCTCCCAAAATTGTGTTTTTTTTAAGTTACCGTCCTCCTAAGATAAATTTCTTGGGTCTGCCCCTACGTCTCAACCCTTCAAATTTACCAACGTAAGTATATATATGGTTTACTGTATTTGCTTAACTTGTATTATGGATAGTTTCGATTTGTGATTCTCAGCTTTTTCAAATTCTTCATCATATATAGTTGTTAGTTGTTACACAGTTCATATCTTTATCTATCAACATTATTTGTGAATAATTGTTAGTATTTTTATGTTACCTAAACATGATTTAGGCTTAAGAAGTCTCCCTCTTTTATTAAAACTTTGTACTGCACTTTTTATTTTACTTAAATGCCCTATTGATGTGAAAATGTAAAATCCATTGATGTGAAATTTAACACTACGCATGAATTTTAGAAGAGTGAAATGTGAAGTAAAAGCAATTTACTCTGCTGAACTCTTTGCTCCATACTCTTCATCTAAGCTTATTATCCCAATCCACTTAAGCTTATTATCCATGAGTCCATGACATGATAGTTTTCTTTAAAGTATATATAATAGTTATATTATTCGACAGTCATTAGTTTAAGCTTATTTAATTTGTACGGAGTTATACATACTCAAATGACATAATAATCAAAAGCCTCTCATTACATTAAATTAAATATTACGGAGTATAATCGACAAAGTAAGTTACCTAAACCATTACAATATATATATTTCTTCCAAACACAATATTACAGTGTGAGCATATCAATCCTGGCTACGCCCCTGACAATGAGACAAGATGATGAAATATCGTACACTTAATTTTGTAACATTTAATTTAATGCATACTAATTTAGTTTTAAAATGATATATAATATCAATTTACGATTCAAATATTAATACTTTTCACTTAACTTTGATTTCTAATTTTGTGTATCATTAAAAAAATTGAAAAAATGACATGAATATTATGTTAACAAAGTTTCCCAGAACAAAAATATGACTAATTATGTTATCACGATAAAAATATGGCTATTCATTATGTATGAGTAACTAATTAAACAAGAGTCAATGATGGTCACAATATTTATTGGAAAAAAATATTATCGATCACTACTATGTATAGTGTATTTCCGAGTCACAAGTTACTGGTAGATGATGAGTCACTAAGAACTAATCACTGAATATGTCATTTTTTGGAAAATTGTAAAATTAGTCATACTTTTGTCTTTTAATTTTATTTTAGTGATATCCGTGGAAAAAATCATTTTTTATTTGTAGAACATTTAATGTAATTTATAAAAATGTATTTTAATTCGTTATTATATGGATGTAATTCTTCAAAACACAATATTCTAGGGGTGAGATATCGATTTCGATTCGGTTTGAAACAAGTTGGAACAAGTATTACCAAACAAAAAACATACAAAATTTCCATTCTTCTTGTTTTTTTGAGCATTTCCTTGTCCAATCAACACAACAAATTTATGTGCCTAAGAAAATGAAATAGCAAAATTTCCATGATGCATTCGCGATTGCTTTGGCCTCTTCAGCGAATTGTTTAACCGTGAAAATGTAAGTTGAGTTTATAATTGCTACGGAGATTGTGACAGATATTCTATCGCAATTTCTTTGAGTGTATTTGTATTTAAGACAAAAAATTAAACAAATGTCAGTGCCATAAAAATTATTACGATACTCCCTAAGGTGTATTTTGTATCTTACAATGAGACAACACGATGACGTATTGTACTCTTAATTAATTTTGTAACATTTAATATATACTAATTTAGTTTTAAAATGATATATAATCTCAATTTAGGATTCACATATATTAATACTGTTCAGTTAATTTTGATCTCTAATTTTGTGTATCATTCAAAAAAATGAAAAAATGACATGAATATTACGTTTTTTGTGTATCATACAAAGTTTCCCTAGATAACAATATGACTAATTATGTTTTATGAATAAAAATATGATTGTTCACTATGTTTGAGTATCTAAACAAGAGTCAATGATGCGTCATAGTATTTATTGGACAAAAATATGACTATTCACTACCATGTATATATAGTGTATTTCAAAGTCACAAGTTACTAATAGATAATGAGTCAGATCACTGAGATCCAATCACTGAATATGTCACTTTTTTGAATTTTTTCAAAATAAGTCATACTTTTGTCTTTTAAATTTAATTTAGTAATATCCACGGGAAAACCCTTTTTTATTCATAGAACATTTAAAGTAATTCATAAAAATGTATTTTAATTTGTTATTATATGGATGTATTTATTTGGACTATGTATACTTCTAAGATAGAGCAGACCAAATCCAACCTATACAAATTGAATCAAATCAAATCACACCAAATTTCAACAGTTGTAAAATGAATATATGAGTATAGGACAGACATACAGTAGACCAGATCAGACTAGTTGGAACAAACATCCAACCTAAACAGATTAGGCCAAATCAGACTAGAAAATTTCAATCCAATTAAAGAAATCCTAAATCAATCATGAATTCATGATGTCACATAAATTAACTAAGAAACCCAATTAATTAGATATAGTCTTATTAAAGTCTTGTACGGGTTTAGATGTTTACTCTGCCAATAAATCGATAAGAATATCTATTAATTGGTTAACTGAATTCTTCTTATTTGAGATTAAGAACATATATAATTTGATTATTTTGTTTTAGTTTTTAATTTTATGTTTTGAGTTGACTATGAAATTTTTTAAGTTTATGTATGATTTATCCAACCATCTTCACTCTTGTCCATGGGTGGAATTACTAGTAAGTACGAAATAGAAAGTCATGAAAGCTTATTCCAATATTCCCTAGTATGGGAAAAAATTCAAAATAATTATAACGATGCTCATGTTTCAATATCATTATTAGTAATCGTGGTTGATGTCAACAAAAGTAGCCTAAAGCTTCATAAAACTTTCAAACCGTCGTTGAATATCTTGGTAAGAATGTCCATCTGTGCGACGGGCAATGCCAAGCCGACCTCCAGTCCACCTTCATGATCCTTGGCCGCACCAAGAGAAATGGCTCCGGTCACATCAATAGAAGGAATATCAAACTTTTTAGGCTTCTCCATCCGAAATCCAGCTCATAATAGTCGAACTTGGGCGAACCAGCCACGCTCAAACTCACCCTCATTTTGGGAATAACTGTGAGCCAGTCACCAGTGCCTCTGAGCACTCCGTCCTTATCCTCATTGTATAGTTGGCTACGAATTCCCTCCGCAATTGCCTCGGCCGCCTTTACGAAGCCTTCATCTCCCATTAGGCTTTTCTAGCTCATGCTTCCTAAACATGCCATGACACAATTGCCGAAATAGTTTGTAGGCAAGGGAGGGTCCAAACGCGCCTGACAATTGGCCAGGCACATAAAACTCTCCATTTCTTCATCATCTTCTTTTTTGTCTTGTTTGTCTTCCTTGTTTATCACATTTCTTGATCTAACTAGGCAACTCCATACATATGAACAAGTCACCGTGAACGATGAGAGGTGTACAAATTCGGGACATCGTGCGAGTACGTGATTCTTAAGTCGTTGAATGTCGTTTCGTGTCACTACAAAAGTAGATCGTGTTGGGATTGGAAAATTCTTCTATTCAATATCAAGAACAGAATTACAATAGGAGGAGCAAACTCTCACACTCAACTATTACAAAAAACCAATCCTCACCAATACACTTCTACTCTAAGTGTATTTCACTCTTCACACACTTTTCTCACTTTCTAAACTGATGATATGAACAACAATAGAACACTCTATTTATAGGCTAGGTTGGAGACAAGAGGAAGTTGCATCCAAGCTTCCTAGTTATCTCCATATCTCCTTCCATGTTCATGTGTTTGATAGCTCCTTCCTAGAAGGTGTTATATGTCTCTTGGCAACTTCCAAGAAAGAAGGTGGAAACTCCCTACAAATCTCCCCCTCCACCTTTTTCTTTATTTCTCTCGTTCCTGCGATGCTCGCAAGCTCCCCCTCGCTAGCAACAAGTATCCATTCGGATGTGGAATACTTTCTATGTGGAACTATGCCTCGCATAGAACGTCGAACATGAGTACATTCAGCTTCGTCTTCAGATGAAGGCTCCCCCTGCTGAGGAATATCATCACCGTGAGCATCATTATCACCTACTGAACCATCACTCTCTTGTTCAGTAGTATCATACTTTTCCTCGTCGCTAAGAGGAATGTTTGATGATACAGGCACTTCGTCTTCTGGAGTATGTTGTTGGCGGATTATTGGAACACACCCATGAAACTCGTTTTCATGAAATACAACATCTCTGCTTCGTACAACTTTCTTCACTTCGGGATCCCACAACCGGTATCCGAATTCTTCATCACCATACCCGATGAAGATGCATGGGTTTGACTTGAGATCCAGCTTCTGTCTCAACTCCTTGGACACATGTGCAAATGCCTTTCACCTGAACACTTTTAAGTGAGAGTAAGAAACATCTCTTCCTGACCATTTCTTCTCTGGCACTTCAAAGTTTAAAGGAACAGAAGGTGACATGTTTATAAGATAACAAGCTGTCAGCACAGCTTCACCCCAAAATGGCTTAGGTAGTTTAGCCATACTCAGCATGCAACGAACTTTCTCCATAATGGTCCGATTCATTCTTTCGGCTACACCATTGTGTTGTGGAGTTCGTGGAACCGTCTTCTCATGTCTGATTCCATACGCATCGCAATATGCTGAGAACTCCCGGGAAGTGTACTCTCCTCCATTGTCTACCATGGCATGAAATAATTTGAAGCGATCAAACACTTAATCCTTACTCTTCAAACAATAAGCCCATACCTTTCGTGATGCATCATCAATGAATGTCACGAAATATCTGCTTCCTCCAAGTGACTCCTCTTCAATGGGTCCACATACATCAGAGTGTACAAGACTGAGTAACTCTGAATGGTTCTTCCTGATAGAACTGAAGGAAACCCTGTGTTGTTTCCCGAATAGACAATGCTCACATGGATGTAGGGCAACACCTTTGCCCATGGAAATGCTTTCCTTCCTAGTAAGAGTTGTCAATCCCTTCATGCTCAAGTGGCCTAGCCTCCGGTGCCACAAGTTTGGTGATATCTCTTCTTCAACAGCATTAAGACTTGGATGACACAACTTTGCATGAGTTTTATAAAGAGTACCACAAATATGGCCTCTTGCAACAACCAAGGAACCTTTAGATAACTTCCACGTACCTTCTTTGAATCGGTTAAGATATCCTTGCTGATCCAGAGCTGTACCGGAGATAAGATTCAATCTAAGATCCGGAACGTGTCGAACATCTTTCAACACAAGTGCGCATCCGACATTGGTTGTTATGTGCACATCACCAATGCCAACAATCTTCGAGAAACTCGTGTTTCCCATCTTCACAGCTCCAAAGTCTCCTGACTTATAAGATGTGAATAAGTTCTGGTGTGGAGTAGCGTGAAATGATGCGGCTGTATCAATCACCCACTCAACATCATGAGTTCCTACGTGTAAACATTCTTGTTCACCATGTGTAACAAGACACGTCTGATGACAAACTAACCATGGTCTCACCATCTTCTTGGCTAGTATTTTGACTCGTCTGTGGCTGCTCTCGTAGAAACTTTCTACAATCTCTTTTTCTATGCCCATAATTACTACAGTAATTGCAATATCCTTCAAACCAAGTACTGTTTTCAAAGGACATACCTCTTTCTTGTGATCTGCCGCGAACTTGAGAATTTCCTCTGTTTTGACCTTGGCCTCGACCTCAACTTCTTCCTCTATTTCTGCCTCCCCCTCGTCTGCTGGTTTCTGACACGAAGGCATATGATTGTTCAGTCCCGGCTTCTTTTCTTCGGGCTTCTTCATTCATAAGGGCATCTGTGACCATCTGCATAGTCACCTTGCCATTGGGAGCAGAATTGCTGAGAGTGACAACAAGAGTCTCCCAGCTGTCAGGTAGAGAGCTCAAGAGTAGTATCGCCTGCTCTTCATCTTTGAGAACCCAGCCGGTGGTGCTCAACTGATTCACAAGATCCTGGAATTGACTGGTGTGTTCTGACACCGAAATACCTCCCCGTTATTTGTGGTTTACTAATCTCCTCGTTAGTAATGTCTTATTTCGGGCGGTTTTTGCTTGATACATGCTACCAAGCTTCTCCCATACTGTGTAAGCACTTTGTTCTTGCGCAACATGGTGGAACACACTATGATCGATCCACTGCCGAATTTGTGCGACAGTTTTTCTATTCATTTTTGTCCATTCTTCATCCGTCTTTTTATCCGGTTTCACGCCATTATTATCAAGAGGATCAGCTAAATCCCTCAAATTTAGCAAATCCTCCATCCGAGGCTTCCACATATTGTAATTTGTGGAAGTGAGCGCAATCATGGTGTCCGATGATGATTTATCCATAATAAAATGCTCAAAATATCTCGTACCTTATTTTCGGAGCCGAATTTGGACAAACGGAGCTCACCGTTGGATCCGGAATGGCCGAAAATGGTAGGAACCGGTCTGACCTCGTCCAAAACCGGTCTGAAAATGGGTGAACCGGCCTCCACAAGTACGAACCGGTTCGGTCCGGTTCAGGCAGCAGCCCAGTGAGCAGACCAGCAGGCGGATGACGTGGCAACAGCTGGCTCTGCGCTGGCGCTGACGTGACGCCACGTGTCACTGACGTGGCGCTGACGTGTCGCTGACGTGGCACCTAGAGATGGCTTGCACGGATGACGTGGCGGATGACGTGGCGCTTACGTGGACTGACGTGGCGCTGACTTGGCGGCTGATGTGGCGGCTGACGTGGCTCGTCTTCTTCCTCTGGACTGCGTGATGACGCAATGATGACGCAGGCAGTTTTCCGGCGCGTTTGGGCGGCGCTTACGGCCTCTTCCGGTGGCCAAAAAATTCCCCAAAAATACCAGATTTCTCGTCTCGACGAGACGAATCTAACGGTATGATCAGATCGTGATTCCGAGCAACTTGAAAAATCACGATTTTCTAACCTGTAGAAATTTATCTGAAAATGAGAAAACAGTGTATGCAAACTCAACCTCGCTCTGATACCACTTGTTGGGATTGGAAAATTCTTCTATTCAATATCAAGAACAGAATTACAATAGGAGGAGCAAACTCTCACACTCAACTATTACAAAAAACCAATCCTCACCAATACACTTCTACTCTAAATGTATTTCACTCTTCACACACTTTTCTCACTTTCTAAATTGATGATATGAACAACAATAGAACACTCTATTTATAGGCTAGGTTGGAGACAAGAGGAAGTTGCATCCAAGCTTCCTAGTTATCTCCATATCTCCTTCCATGTTCATGTGTTTGATAGCTCCTTCCTAGAAGGTGTTATATGTCTCTTGGCAACTTCCAAGAAAGAAGGTGGAAACTCCCTACAGATCGGACCTTGTCGGTGACAAGTGGAAGGCGATAGCCATTATGTGCTTCCTCAATGTTGATGGTTTTCACAAAGTCCTAATAAAACTTTGCTAGTCCTTTGGGATCTTTGATAGTGTTCTATCGTGAACCGGCAAATACTGAGATGGTAATGATAATGAAAACTAAGGGAGTATCCTATTAATTTCACCGTCTTGTCTCATTTTAAGATACAAAATACAACTAAGGGAGTATCCTATTAATTTTTATGTCACTAGCATTTGTTTAATTTTTGTCTTAAATAAAAACACACTCAAAGAAAATTGCAATAGAATATCTGTCACAATCTCCGTAGCAATTATAAACTGAAGTTACATTTTCAAGGACAAACAATTCGCTGAGGACGAAGCAATCACGATTTGTTGTGTTGATTGGACAAGGAAATGCTCAAGAAACAAGAAGAGTGAAAACAAGCTAATACTGAACCTGTTCCAAATTGAACCGAAATCCCGAAAAATTGATATGCTCACACTGTAATATTGTGTTTGGAAGAAATATGTATATTGTAAATTGTAATGGTTTAGGTAACTTACTTTGTCGATTATACTCCGTAATATTTAATTTAATGTAATGAGAGGCTTTTGATTATCATGTCATTTGAGTATGTATAACTCCGTACAAATTAAATAAGCTTAAACTAATGACTGTCCAATAATATAACTATTATATACGAAGTATACTTTAAAGAAAACTATCATGTCATGGATAATAAGCTTAAGTGGATTGGGATAATAAGCTAAGATGAAGAGTATGGAGCATAGAGTTCCGCAGAATAAATTGCTTTTACTTCACATTTCACTCTTCTAAAATTCATGCGTAGTATTAAGCTTCACATCAATGGATTTTACATTTTCACATCAATAGGGCATTTAAGTAAAATCAAAAGTGTAGTACAAAGTTTTAATAAAAGAGGGAAACTTCTTAAGCCTAAATCATGTTTAGGTAACATAAAAATACTAACATAATTATTCACAAATAATGTTGATAGATAAAGATATGAACTGTGTAACAACTATGATGAAGCATTTGAAAAATCTGAGAATCCCGAATCGCCATAATCCATAATACAAGGTAGGGGCAAATACAGTAAACCATATACGCACGTTGGTAAATTTGAAGGAGCTTGAAATAAATTAATAATTCAATTTAACAACAAATCATGTGAGGCTTATATACTTTCTAGGAATACAGTGCATTTCTTTCAAGCTTCACCGAGATGGAGTAGCATAGTTCATGGCATGGGAACATTATATTGTCTCCAAAATCTAAATCTAAAAAATTATAAGCATGAATGTGGGTAAGGCTATTTTCGGTAAGAAAAATTTGTTGGTGGAACATGAAAGCTTTATGAGGTTGTACATTATATAGTTAAGCCATTGTACTCTATTCTCTTCAATTACCAGTCATGTACACATAGGCACTTATTAGATTTAGAGGCTAAATATATTATCTAAAAAATTATAAGCATGAATGTGGGTAAGGCTATTTTTGGTAAGAAAAATTTGTTGGTTAAACATGAAAGGCTTTATGAGGTTGTACATTATAGTTAAGCCATTGTACTCTATTCTCTTCAATTACCAGTCAGGTACACATAGCCACATAGGCACTTATTAGATTTAGAGGCTAAATATATTATTTTAGTACAAATATAAATTTTAAGTCATTTTGTGAAAGTGAAGAAGTCAGATACGAAGTATTCCGTAGTACTCCCTCCGTCCCATTTTACCTGTCTTACTTTCTTTATTGGGTTGTCCCAAAATAAGTGTCATCTTTTCCTTTTTGGAAAGAAATATGTGATTCATAACATTTCACTTTACTATACTCAAATCTCAACCACAATTTTTACATTTTCAACCACTTTATTAAAAATTGTGCCAAAAGCAAATAAGACACATAAAATGGGACGGAAGTAGTACTACATATGTTAGTTAGTAGGACTGCTTTTTACAACGTATTTACCATCCTCAGGTACCTACCAGTTGTTCGACAAATTTCCTTGGAGGGTCCGCAATGCATTTTCTCCTCCCTAATTGCAAACTTTGTTTCTTTTTGTCCATCCAAGGTGAGGTTACACATTTAAACAAGATAGAGATAGATACGTGGTTACAAATAAGGGTAAGTGTAAGGGTAAGGGTAAGATAGACACGTGCAAAGAACCAATAAATCCAATTGCAGAATTTGATAGAGAATATTTCACAAATGTCGGAATTTTTAATTATTTTCTAGGCATTACATTTGAATTCAATCGCCATTTCATACTTTATGACTAATATAAGCGGATTTCTTAAGTTCTTATAATACCATGATTTTTTGTTTGCTTTATATTTTTTAATTGGAATTCTTTATCTTTGATACGTGCTATCCAAAAGTATTTGTAGACTCCCTTCATTTTGATGTTAATTTTCTTTAAGAGTTGTTATGGTTGTTACTAATATGTTTATTAATCCCCTTGAAATTTACATTTCTCAGTGGAGAATGTAAATCATAAAAATTGTTATGTTTAAGTATTACTGATGAGTGATACTACTTAAGGATATTTATGACCAGATAATTAGGCTTTCACCGGTTTGCTTATTAGATTTGAATGAACATGTAGTTTAGTTTGATAGCTGTGAGTTTGTATCAATTGATTTATGTTCTGTACATCCTCCCCTCTCGGATCATAGTTTTTGTAGCAAAACACACACACAACTCATTTTAGATTAATTTAAGGACATTGAAATGATTAGTTCAATAGCTTTTGTGAAAATGAAGAAGTAACGTGTTGTATATCTAAAATTTCTATGTTAGTTACTACATTCTACAATGTATGTTTCAATCTACAGGCATAATTGGTATATTGGCAGTTGAAATTTTGCACATTTTTTTCCTTTAAAATGACTCATTTAGGATATGATCTTGGACGAATTGTTTTCATCATCTTATGAGTGTATATTTGCTCTGCAGGCTGCAGTGTCTTTTTATATTTGGGACTAATGTATGTAGTGCTATGTGGGACTCAATACTCAATAGCTTCATGATTTCATGGCTCTATACAAGAAAGTGACCTAACAATATTACAATCGAATTATTGAAACAATAATTATAAATAAAAAGAGATTTCATTACATATCTAATAAGACTAGCATAAAGGTGGCACACATCGTTACTCTTTCAATTGAAATTTATGAATTATCTTGTAGGGATAATTGACATTAAAAATCTTCCTAAAATATTTTTATATAAAATCTTTTTAATAAAAAAGTATTGAATCTGCAAAGTAAAGAGGAAAGTCCTCGTGATAAGCAAAGTAAAGAGACTTTTAAGAGTCCTTTTTTACAAACTTTGAAAATGAAATGAATTTACACTATATATTTATTTAGAGAAACTTTTTAAATGTTCTTATGTCCATGATAATGTACACACACTAGGGTGGACATGCTTGTGGTCCTGGGGCTTGACCAAATCGGGATCGGAAAACAAGGTTCCGGTCTGAGACCGAGACCCGAATGGCGGGATCCAGGCCTCAATTTTTTAGATCAAGATCAGCTGGTCTGGTTCCGATCTCATTTTGTTAACATTTGAGCAATTGGGAAGTATTTTAAAAGGGGCTAGGGGTACATTTAAAAGCTTAAAAAATGGGGACAATAAGTATTTTGAGGAGTATATAAAAAGGAATTGGGCTGAGATAGGGATGATGGCGCAAATATAGGTCTAGGTCCCCTGCCTCCCAAACTTTTCAGGACTAGCCGGTACAAGAACTGAATCGGATCGGACCAGGACTGTGTCCACCCCTAACACACACTTATAGAGAGTTAATATATACATAATACATACCATTTGATACCTATTAATATAACTTTAATCATCACCATGACCTATTGAATTAATTACAAAATAAGATTACTAAACGTTCATATTACACATGCATATAATATTGAGCATTAACTTAATCGCGCAACGCGCGTGATGATAACTAGTATTGAAATAATAGATGACTAGTCCACAAAACACAACTATAACAATGTAACAGTATGTAGCGCATTATATTAATCCTTTAAGAGCCTTTTTGGCGATCCTGTTTTTCGGATTATCAACCAATTTTTTCACCAAACACATTACTTTTTATTTCGCACGTTGAATTATGCAATAATAAGAAAAGTAAGTTTGAAGTTACATTTTCTGGCTGTATTAATTGATGTTACTTTAGATGATCATTTAAACTAATTAATTTTACATATAATTTTTTCCTTATCTAATTAATAAAATATATTTTAAATATAATTTTTTCATAAATTAGCAGATTCAGTCAATGCAGTCAATGCAGCGGATTTGAGTATTATCAAACGGGACTTTTAATTTGAAAGGAAGGGATTATATTTTACTCATTCACTTGCACACATTTATTCGAGAAAACATAGGGATTATATTGTAGCGGTTGTTTTTCTTAGCAATCCAAACACATCCTTAATTTGAAAGGAAGGTGTTAAATCTTTCTAGAGTTTCTTTTTTACAAGTGAACTAGTATTAAATATACCCGTGTGATGCACGGGATTTTGAGTACAAATTATCTCATATTGCAACTTGGTAAAGGATTTCAAATAAAAAACAATTGTAAATATTTCTTCTTTATTGCAATTTTTAATTTTGAATGCTTAACTTCAAAGAGATCAGAATGACTATTTCGATATAAAGAGTAAATAAATACAAGTACTAAGTAGTATGAGGAAGCGATCCAGCCCAGCTGGTCGCCGACTCAGTCTCTCTTACGGGAGGTATTGGGTTTGAA